CCCTGACCATTTTCTGCTTTGAAACATGCTTCTCTCCGGCTGAAGCTGCCAAGTCTGGCCCACCCTCGGCGGGCTCAGCAGGAACTCCACCTGCTGGTTCAGCAGCAGCTGCACCGTCGTGCTTTCTTTCAGAGAGCTCTGCAAGCACTTCCCAATTGCTCAAGTCCGAAAGCAATTCTGGACCGCCAGTTGTGTACTTGCGCTCTTCATCACTCTCTGCAGACTCCCAAGATCCAAGGCTGCCTGCATCATCATCCAGGACACCATCCCCATCAGCAGCAGGGGAGATATCCAACGATCCCACACCAGCAGCACTCATGTTGTCAGCAGGGCCTCCAGGGGCAGGTTCTGCTTGAGCAGTTTTCCTGGAACGCTTGCCAGGGCGACTGGGCGCAGAACGGGGTGGGCCCCGTTTGCGTTGACCCCGGCCCCTGTTCTGAGCCCTCTGTTGCTCAGCACGTACCTCAAACTCTGCATCCAGGCCCTTCCACAAAGCCATGGTGGGCATCACCTGTTCAGGCAACTTTCGGACCTCAACGATGTTTGGCACAAACATGGACTTAGGCAAGATTTCACCGTCCACGACAATCTCATGCCATTCAGCCTGCCACGCATGGCTCAGCTTCAGCCCCTCAAAGACAGCACAAGATCTCTGCACTCGGATCAAAGGTGGCACGGTGAGCACCACGAAGCCTGGCCTGGTTTGCTTTTCTGGCTCGCAAAGCAGCTGTAGCAGTGTGAACTCCATGTCCTTGAAATTGATGTAGTTCAAGTGCATCCACACCTCTTCGGGCGCTGAAACCACAGGATCGACACTGGTGTCAAGCCAACCATGTTCATCCAGCTGCATAGTCTCCAACGGCTCTGCTGAAAGTTTCAGTACAAGCAGGCTGGCTTCTGCAAGTTCACGTGCTCGGGTCTTCGGCACCTTGACGGCATCCCTCTTGGCTCGCTCCCGGTCTGCTTTCTTCATCCGTGTAATCCAGCAAGGCCGCACGAGCTTGGTGAGGTTTACATGAAACATACGAGCATGAAGGCCAGCACCACTGCAGATGCATCTCCCGTACTTCAAACACGCGCCAGGACCAGGGTTGGAAGCAGCTGAAGGAATGTCATCTGCTTCGGCACTCTCTTGCATCAAGTGCAGATTGTCCCATGCCTCCCCCAACAGTTTCTTGGCTGGCATCGTCTGCTGGTTTTTCTCCCAGTCCTCTCTGCTGCGAAGCAAAGCTGCCTGTCAGGTGGGGCACATGGTCGAAGGGCTTAAGGCTTAGTAGACTTAGTAGAATTTAGGAACTTTAAGGTAAAATTTAGGACTGCGGGTAGGACCTAACGAACCTAGACCTACCCTACAAGGCCCTACCCTACAACGCCCTACAATCCTACGACTAAGACCTAAATACCTAGCCTAGGACCTGACCTGCCTAAGTGACTGGCCGGTGCCTTTGCCAGATCCACAGCAGGACTGCACCACTCTGATGTATGAACAGCACCTGTGCCCGCAGAAGGCATGAGACCGGCACACGGAATTGTCATGGACAGAGAACATGGGTCCTCCCTGCAACGGGCTTGTCTCCTGCTCACAAGCCGGTTCTCTTCACTTGTGGCCAGAATGGCAGCTGCACGCGCCCTGCTTCTCGACTGTTGCCTGGCTTGCTTTGCCAAGCCTTGAGCCTCGTCTCGCAACTTGAGATTCCTGTCCACAGCTCTCAAGGCCCTCTCAGGCGTATCTCTCTGTCTGGGAACAAATGCTCTCTGGCCAGCCCTGCGGCTGACGACAGCAGCTGCGCCCAACCGCTGGTAATGGGCGTTCTGTTCTGCAGTCAAACCACGGTACTCCCTGTGTAGACGCTTGTACACCTCGCCCAAGCCCAACTGTCCCATACGTGCCTTCCCAAGCTGGGCCATTCGCTCACGGAAAAAAGCATGCTGCGCCCCTCCAGACCGGTTTGTCTTTGTCTTGCCAGCACAGTCCCGGCGCCGGTGCCGTGAGGATATCGGCATCGAGTGCAGCCCAAACTTCCTGATGCTTCCTGTGGTTGGGACACCCTGCAAAAGTCGCACATATGCTGCATTCTGCAAGCTGGCCTGTCTCAACAGATGGTCTGCTGACAACGTTTGCAGAATCACTTGCCATGTGCTGTTCTTTGTCTCTTGCAAGTGACGGACAACAGCATGTCGACTCTCAATTGAAGCTACATCCAGCTCACAAAGGTGGAAAGCACCATGCAGAAAGGCCAAAGCTTCAGGAGAAACCATGTCGCTGGGTGTTGGATACAGGGAAATGAACTTCTGCAAAAAAGTGTCCCGCAGGCATGGTGGACGGGACAAGATTTCTTCTGCCACCTCTTCAGATGCTTCGGCCAAGAGGAATGCAGACAGATAAGGACATGCTTCACGCAAGCTCTGCAAAAGGAAGTGAGCCGCACCAGCCAGTCTGGCAAGCAAAGAAAACAGTTTGACCCGGTGTTGCCGGCTCATGCTCTGGAGTGGAACAGCTGGAGGGGTCTCTCTGAACGCCAAAGCAATGGAATCCATCATGCAATCCAAGTCCTTGCTCAGCAGGGCTTCTGTCAAGCGGTAAGATCGCGGCTTGCCCTCCAACAGAGCCTGTTCTTGAGCACGGTCCCACTCAGCACCCGAGCGTTTCAGCATGGCAAAGAACACCCTGGAACTGATTGTGAGCACACGTCGGATGAGGGCAAGAATGCTCAAGTCATGCCCTGTGGCCCATGACTCCATCTTCCGCTGCATGCTGCGATTGAAAGCTGCCCAGTCTGCTGCGTCTTTTCCAGGTGGTGCATCTCCCGGAACATCGGCTTCAAGTACAACCAAAGGATTTGTGTCGTCATCTGCTGCTGGTGCCGGTGCACCCAGAATTTCTTCCTCCATTGCAGCCCACCCCTCCCGATGAACCGGTGGCACAGTTGCCTCTGAAACTGGTTGCTGCGTCCCAAACATCCGCTTCACAGTGCTGGAAAACAACTTGTGGTGGCTTTCCATCAAACCAATGTAGTCTATAGCAGTCTCACCTCCAAGCCATCTGTGTCTTGCGTACACTGGCATGGACCCAGGCACAAGAGCCGGAATGATGTGAGTGCGGATGGTGCCTAGGACTTCCTGTTCGGTGGCAAAAATGCCTTGGGTGTAGAATTCCACTGTCGAGCCTTGGAGATCGCCGCAAAGATATCGGTCCAGAATGGACCGCTGCTGCTCGCGTCGCAGCTGCAGTTGCTGCTGTTCCTGCTCCCTGGCAAAATCACCACTCAAATAGGTGTCATAGATCTGATGCCGATAGACTCTGGCGGGGCCATCCTCAGGAATGCCATTCACGATCAAAAGCCTGCTTTGTATCTCATCCAAAAGGTGCTCTTTGAAGCTGGCCAATGACCCAGCCTGCCGCAGCACAATGGAGCTGGCGATGACACCAGAAATGTCAAGATCAAGGCCCTTCAATGCCCAAGTCACAGAAGTCGACATCTTATGGATTTCACAGTCCACATGAAGACTGGTGTCCTCTGGCCGGAGGTACTTCAGGCAGGACTCGGCTTTGAAGTTGGCCAGCGCGCGGTCTGCAACATTGATGTCAACCGATGCCTTGCACTGGCTGACCAACGGGTCCACTGCAGGCACAGAGTCTATGACCCTCTTCTGGCACAAGCAAATGTCCTGTCCTCGGGTCCTCTCCATGCCTTGAAGACACGTGGGCACTATACCCCAGTAGTACATGAAGCGGTCTTGTGCGAGGTCTTTCACCAGCACTCCCAGCTTGTGTCGTGTTTGCATGCACTTGGTCACGCAAGTCTCAGCCTTTGACCCCAGCCCTGCCTCTCTGCCAGACTTTGTTTGCACCCTCAAGCGAAGTGGAGTTTCATCGTAGGTTCTACTGCGGAAAACAGCTATTCCCTCCAAAAGTCCTTGCTCTATGCCGCGGCATACAGCTTGAAGGTTAGCATTCCATGCAGCGCAGCCAAGATGCCAAACAGCCGAGGCCGTGCGCGTAAGATCGCTGGCCAGAGCTTGTCGATTCACTTGCAATGAGGCGGCTTCGGAAATCAAACTTGTCTGCGGTCGTCCTGGGGTCAACAGGAACCTGTCCAAAATCTTGGCTTCGTCCGAAGTTTCAGCTGATTTCGCATCAGAATAGCAAAAATATTTGCACGAGGACAGCATAAGCTGCAATTGGAATGTGTTGCCACATGTCAGGAGTGGCCATGACAATTCCTGCAGAGTCACGCTGCAGCTAGGAGTGGCTGCATCTGCACGTGGCCCATCATTCGTGGCCGTGGCCGCGTCAGCATCATGTCTCTCTAGCTCTGGCAGCTCTCGCAAGACGCTTCGCAACAGGTGGCTTCCCGTCTTTCCCAGGCGACTGTTTGCCCGTCCATCTGCCCCAGCACGACCTCTACCTGCTTTGCCCATCTTGAATGGTCAGCAGCTGCAAAAGCTCACCTCTGTCACCCTATGGCATCTATGCACAGCCACACCGACCACAGCCGCATTCACTGCACTGTGCACATGAGACATGAGACTACTGTCTGAAACAAGTTCATGACTGCACTGATGACAGCTTGCACTTGCAATGTCTGGCAAACAAAAGTGCACAGGAGGGGGGCAATTGGGGCGCACCTCGGGCGGCTGAGCTTGACCCAGATGCGCAGATCCATAGGCTGAACGAAAACGTGGTAGCCAGGGTGGCCCCTCGTCTCAAGACGCTGGACATCCTGCAGGAACCTCAGGTGAATTGGAAAAGCAGATCCCGGATGGACTCATGGGCTACGGCTACATACTAACTTACTAACAGGTGACTGACTAGTTACTACAATTACAACTACTAGGACCAGGACTAGGACTAGGACTAGGACTAGGACTAGGACTAGGACTAGGACTAGGACTAGGACTCGGACTCGGACTCG